GAAGCACTCACTGCTCTTAACTAAGTAACTTATGTAACTTTAATAGGTAATTGTATATGTTTATTTCGTAATACAGTTTTCATAAGCACTGTAAAATACTGTTTATTTAGGACATTTGTATCTTTGTATCTAATGGTCTCTCTGAGGGCTAAGCCCCCCGTTAAGAAAATATTAATGTGTGTCAGTATAACAGATCCATGCATTTCTTATATTACGCTAATATTGTTAATACAACAACAAAGGAAAAACAGAGAAGCACTCACTGCTCTTAACTAAGTAACTTATGTAACTTTAATAGGTAATTGTGTATGTTTATTTCATACAGTAATACAGTTTTCATAAGAACTGCAAAGTACTGTTTATTTAGGAAATTTGTATCTAATGGTCTCTCTGAGGGCTAAGCCCCCCTGAGAACCGACCCTACATTTAAAATGTTTTTTAAATGATTTATCTCTTTTGAGATAACATATAGTCTCTATTCCGTTTTATTTTGTGTTGTTTTGCCAAAACAACACTCAATGTTGAAAGGGATAGTAGAGACACGCACATTTCCAAAACAGAAAAAATATTTACTAATTATTTAAGGATACAATTGTTGTTAGGTCTTAAGTAAACTAATTTATAGTTACAAAGTAAAACAACAACAATATAGCCTAATAAAATAGCATAATAATTATTATAATTATATAAAATAGCCTAATAATAATAATAATAATAATAAAGCAATGAACCAGATGGGCAAGATTACACAATTCTTATTAAACCGTTGTCCATTCTCTGAACCCACTACAACTGAGAGACTGTTATTAACGGTTTTAACTTTCAAAAGAGTGTATCAGTGCAGTGCCATATTTAATGTAACATTGAAATGGCTGAGACAGACATAAGAAAGAGGTTCAATAGACTTTATCATTAATTTTGTCCACCGATACTTCAAGAACTGGACAACATGTTATATAACAATAATGCCTATTAGGACATTGCAGTGTGTATCACGTTTGGTCCCAATGGTCAAGAAGAATGGTCAATGGCATCCGAGCCGAGAGTGCAAATATGTCGGCTCAAACGTGTACATAATAATACAATACATCAAAATGTACAGTTCAAAAAATAAAATAAAAATAAAAAAAACACCCGCCTTAAAACAAAGAGAAAAGCCGGCACGAATTTGGGCACGCAATATGACGACTCATTCAAGTATTTATTCAATACAGTGGCTAAATTAACGAAAAATAAAGCATTAACAGGTGTTGACATTTCCCAATAGCACAGCAGTAATGACTTTATGAACTACTTTACTTCCAAGATCGATACTATTAGAGATAAAATTGTAACCATGCAGCCGTCAGCTACAGTATCGCATCAGATAGTGTGCTATAGATCTCCTGAGGAACAATTCCACTCATTCTCTACTACAGGAGAGGAAGATTTGTATAAACTTGTTAAATCATCTAAACCAACAACATGTATGTTAGACCCTATTCCATCTAATCTCCTAAAAGAAGTGCTTCCAGAAGTCATAGATCCTCTTCTGGCTATTATTAATTCATTATTGTCATTAGGATATGTCCCAAAAACCTTAAAACTGGCTGTTATTAAGCCTCTCATCAAAAAAACACAACTTGACCCCAAAGAACTAGTAAATTACAAACCGATCTCGAATCTCCCTTTTCTGTCCAAGATACTAGAAAAGATAGTATCCTCACAATTATATTCCTTCTTAGAGAAAAGTGGTATCTCTGAGGATTTCCAGTCAGGATTTAGACCGTATCATAGTACTGAGACTGCTCTAATTAGAGTTACAAATGACCTGCTCTTATCATCTGATCGTGGTTGTATCTCTCTATTAGTGCTATTGGATCTTAGTGCTGCGTTCAACACTATTGACCACAACATTCTTTTGAATAGACTAGAAAACTTTGTTGGCATTAATGGAAGTGCATTAGCATGGTTCAAATCGTACCTGTATGACTGCCATCAATTCGTAGCAGTGAATGAAGAGGTATCATATCGATCACAAGTGCAGTATGGAGTACCTCAAGGCTCAGTACTAGGGGCATTACTCTTCACGCTTTACATGTTACCCTTGGTAGATATCATCAGGAAACACAGTGTTAGCTTTCACTGTTATGCTGATGATACTCAGCTCTATTTCTTCGCGGCCCAGAGAAACATACCAATTTGAAAAACTAGCGGAATGCATAGTCAATATTAAAAACTGGATGACAAGTAATTTCTTACTGCTAAATTCTGAAAAAACAGAGGTGTTAATTATAGGACCTAAAAACTCTGCATGCAATAACCTAGAACACTGTCTAAGAATTGATGGCTGCTCTGTCAATTCCTCATCATTAGTTAGGAACCTAGGTGTGCTATATGATAGCAAGCTTTCCTTAGAAAGCAACGTTTCTAGCATTTGTAAAACTGCATTTTTCCATCTCAAAAATATATCTAAATTAAGACCTATGCGCTCAATGTCAAAGCAGAAATGTTAATCCATGCGTTTATGACCTCAAGGTTAGATTATTGTAATGCTTTATTGGGTGGTTGTTCTGCATGCTTAATAAACAAACTCCAGCTGGTCCAAAATGCAGCAGCTAGAGTTCTTACTAGAAACAGGAAGTATGACCATATTAGCCCGGTTCTGTCAACACTGCACTGGCTACCTACTAAAGATTGTAAAGATTTTAAAATCTTGCTTATTACTTATAAAACCCTGAATGATTTAGCAACTCAGTATTTGAACAAGCTCGTTACAATATAGTCCTCAACCTGGCTTACACATAACACTCGAACACATTTCTAATATTCAAATCCGTTAAAGGATTTTTAGGCTGCATTAATTAGGTCAACCGGAACCGGGAACACTTTCCATGACACCCGATGTACTTGCTACATCGCTAGAAGAATGGCATTTACGCTAATATTAGTCTGTTTCTCTCTTAATCCGAGGTCACCGTAGCCACCAGATCCAGTCTGTATCCAGATCAGATGGTCACTGCAGTCACCCGGATCCAGTACGTATTCAG